GGTTTATTTTGGAGCTTCGGCCGGAGAATTCACAAGACATGTCACGGGCCACGAGTTGACGACACGGTTGAGATGCCATAATCAATTCTGAAGAACTCTACCACAGACCCATGTATTTAGCTAGTTCAGAGAGAATAATCAACATTGTGCATAATAAGATAGAATGATAACACCTCTATCAGCTGACGCCAAAAGGCAGGAACAGGGAGACAAAACACTGAGAGCACAGCAGCCAAGGTTACAGGTGCGTGTGCTCAGTCAGGACAGTATGAACTGATAAACTGGGTCAAAGTTATAGGCCTTGGAAAATATTGGCCCAACATGTATAAATGTGGCTGTTGATTGTGTAAACTTAACACAAAAAGTAAGGCAATTTGTGTTTGGTAGATGATTTATATGTTCTAACAATGCTTGTTGCCTGTTTTCTTACCTTTCCAATGGTACATTTGTGAGGAACAAGCATTTGTGGGATGAGCAGCAGAGCAGAGTATGTGGGGTGCACCCATGAAAAATGTTGCAAATCTCCTCTGCCAATGCCAAACAGCTTTTGCTGCTGACTCTAGTTTGGTGTTGTTTGGTGGATTGGATGATTGAAGTCTGACAAATAAAGACATATAGGCAACAATTGATTTATTAACAATTGATTCATTTAACAAGCAGCCTCAGTAGCGTGTGGAAGAACCAAACAGAGCCACAACAACCTCTCCTCCTCATGCTGTCACCAGCCTGCTCACACTCTGCTTTGGGATGGCATCACGCGGGTACCCGACGGGTGACCGACGAGTGACCCGCAAAAAAAGTGATTCGCGGGTGGTATTTTCTCAAACATTTTTTTCCGGGTTCGGTTCTGGGTAAAACAAAGAAAATTCTCAGACCTCTCCCCCGCAGCACCGCGCATCAACCTAACCTCTTCACCGCATCAATCTGCAGCTGAGCACGCCACATTCGAAATGGCTGAGGTGAAGGCGAAGCTCTCTAGCGGAGAATACAGCATTTGACTCTTCCTCGTGCAAAATCAAACGTCTGGGAGGCGTGAACTAGTTGCACGTACATGTCAACTAGTAAGTAATTGTGTTGTGTTGAACTAGAGAGAAGAAAACCACAACTAGTGGGCTGAAAATATCCACTAGTTTAGGAAAAAGCCATACATGTTGAATCAATATCTAACTAGTTGCATACAGTTGCTCACTAGTGCAAAAAAGCCAAACTAGTTGAAGGAAAGGCCTTACATGTAAGAAAAATGTGTAACATGTACGGTCAAAGGAGAGAGAGAGAGATTAATAATAATTGTTGCCCAATAAACATTTGCAAAGCAACCAGGTCTACTTGAAACCTTCCCTGAATACAAACGATGGTTTCACACATACAAAGCATTGATTTCTAGGCATTTAGTGTACTTGTTGTAGATCCAAAATGATTATGAAATCTTTTGCATAACTGATACAAAATGAGAGCTCTGACCAGCTTGTGATGTCACCAAAGCTGTGCCATGTACTGGAAAAAATGCTGCATAGAATTCTTCCATAGTGATGTTGAGATCTTCATAGTATGTTGAATACTTAAAACGAAAGTTAATTATAATCAAGTATAATCAATTATATTCTTATATAACTCACAATGAAAATGCTTCATATTTTATGATTTTCTATATTTACAGTATAAACAAAACGGTTTGTTAAATTGGGTGTGTAAGGCCTTTAATGGTTTATGGGTTTCACTGATAAGGGAGAGACAGTTTTCCCCTCTTCCCTCACAGCAGTACACAGGGAGGGGGGGCTCGTGACTTAAGGGGAAAAAGACAGAGGCCCCAAAAAGGTGGTTATGTCATAGCCGAGAATAATATTTTGCAAGTCCTGCAGAGTAGGGGTCATGTCCTTTTTACACAAACATGGGTATGGAGGAGGTGTCTTTAGGTTTTTATATCCTGTTGTTGAGCCATATAATATGCCTGGTCATGTCCAGTCCTGTACATCAGAGGCCATGCCCAGTTTCCACAAATATGGGTATGGAGGAGGTGTCTTTAGGTTTTTATATCCTGTTGTTGAGCATAAAGACACTGGCGGAGAGGGAGCAAGCTCAGAGAGAGAGAGGGGGGGGGGGGGTTCCCCTGGTATACTCTCTCCCAGTAAAAGCTCTGTCCCTCAGAGCTGGGTTAATAAAGTGGGGCAAAAAAGTATTTAGTCAGCCACCAATTGTGCAAGTTCTCCCACTTAAAAAGATGAGAGAGGCCTGTCATTTTCATCCTAGGTGTACCTCAACTATGAGAGACAAAATGAGAAGAAAAAAAAATCTAGAAAATCACATTGTCTGATTTTTAAAGAATTTATTTGCAAATTATGGTGGAAAATAAGTATTTGGTCAATAACAAAAGTACATCTCAATACTTTGTTATATACCCTTTGTTGGCAATGACAGAGGTCAAACGTTTTCTGTAAGTCTTCACAAGGTTTTCACACACTGTTGCTGGTATTTTTGGCCCATTCCTCCATGCAGATCTCCTCTAGAGCAATGATGTTTTGGGGCTGTCGCTGGGCAACACGGACTTTCAACTCCCTCCAAAGATTTTCTATGGGGTTGAGATCTGGAGACTGGCTAGGCCACTCCAGGACCTTGAAATGCTTCTTACGAAGCCACTCCTTCGTTGCCCGGGCGGTGTGTTTGTGATCATTGTCATGCTGAAAGACCCAGCCACGTTTCATCTTCAATGCCCTTGCTGATGGAAGGAGGTTGTCACTCAAAATCTCACGATACATGGCCCCATTCATTCTTTCCTTTACACGGATCAGTCGTCCTGGTCCCTTTGCAGAAAAACAGCCCAAAGCATGATGTTTCCACCCCCATGTTTCACAGTAGGTATGGTGTTCTTTGGATGCAACTCAGCATTCTTTCTCCTCCAAACACGTCTAGTTGAGTTTTTACCAAAAAGTTCTATTTTGGTTTCATCTGACCATATGACATTCTCCCAATCCTCTTCTGATCATCTAAATGCTCTCTAGCAAACTTCAGACGGGCCTGGACATGTACTGGCTTAAGCAGGGGGACACGTCTGGCACTGCAGGATTTGAGTCCCTGGCGGCGTAGTGTATTACTGATGGTAGCCTTTGTTACTTTGGTCCCAGCTCTCTGCAGGTCATTGACTAGGTCCCCCCGTGTGGTTCTGGGATTTTTGCTCACCGTTCTTGTGATCATTTTGACCCCACGGGGTGAGATCTTGCGTGGAGCCCCAGATCGAGGGAGATTATCAGTGGTCTTGTATGTCTTCCATTTTCTAATAATTGCTCCCACAGTTGATTTCTTCACACCAAGCTGCTTACCTATTGCAAATTCAGTCTTCCCAGCCTGGTGCAGGTCAACAATTTTGTTTCTGGTGTCCTTTGACAGCTCTTTGGTCTTGGCCATAGTGGAGTTTGGAGTCTGACTGTTTGAGGTTGTGGACAGGTGTCTTTTATACTGATAACAAGTTCAAACAGGTGCCATTAATACAGTTAACAAGTGGAGGACAGAGGAGGCTCTTAAAGAAGAAGTGACAGGTCTGTGAGAGCCAGAAATCTTGTTTGTTTGTAGGTGACCAAATACTTATTTTCCACCATAATTTGCAAATAAATTCTTTAAAAATCAGACAATGTGATTTTCTGGATTTTTTTTTCTCATTTTGTCTCTCATAGTTGAGGTATACCTTACAGGCCTCTCTCATCTTTTTAAGTGGGAGAACTTGCACAATTGGTGGCTGACTAAATACTTTTTTGCCTCACTGTAGCTCTCGGTAAGGTTCTCTCAGACTTGGTAAATATCTTTCAAATTTCTTGGTTGAATGCTGAGTGAATTTCTTTGTGAAATGAGTGGAATGAATTGAGATGTGTTTGTGAATATTAAGCCTGCCAGCTGTGAGGAATCTTCCTCCGAATTCATGCGGATAGGTATGGGGTTTTGAATGTTAGTACCCGCCATCTGTGTCGGAAAAAAGGTATGGAATTTATGTGAATTGATTTGGTGAAAATGAAAGTTTGAATGTGCTTTTTAATAACACCGGTCTTTTATGAGGAAATGCCTCTAAATTCTATCGGGAGATTTATAAATCACAAACTGAATTGGGCAGTTGAAATTACAATTTTGGTAAAAAATGTAAAACTGTGAATTAAAGTTTCATATTAGAACATGATCACAGCATGATAGGTTTAGTATGATTATAATGTTGTAAAGAGAGAAGGTAAAAACCCTGTATTAGTTCGGACCAATTTTTCTTCAAATAAACGGATCCCACCTTTTGGATTGGGACAACTTTAAAGACATCTGAGCTCTCCTTTCCTGCTTCAAAGGTAAGATTGCACCCTGCCACACTCACACTTAGGTAGGGCCACACCTCATTTACCTTCGGGATCGCTTAAACAGATTTAAGAGAGTTGTCTGAATTGAAACAGCAGTTAATTGAACCTGGTTCTTCTGGGAGTTAATAGAGGTGAGATCTGAGCCAAGCAGTAAACTTACATAGACTCGATAACTTTGGTTAGGTCAATTAGTAGGTCTGAGTAATTTCCCGGAATAAATTATCAGCTCCTCCCGACTCTTACAGTGATTTGTTGTCAAAGTTCCTATTTAAAGCTTTGAGTTAAATATGCAGCAATTTAAACATAAAGAGGGCTCCTCAAAAGGGGCTTCCTTCTGTTATCCCTTGGGTTACTTGTTCCAATAAATGAGTTCAGAATTGAACAATTTAAAAAACAAACAAACTTCAAAGCAGCTAAAATAAGTATTCCTATTACTTTGGCCACATGTTGCATGCTTTGAGTTTGTATCTCCACATTAATGACAGTCGGCTTCTAATTAGCTGCAAATAGCAGCTGATAAACCTGAATTTAGCAATAACTGCCAGCAACTCAATCACCTTAGTGTCACCAATGAAAAGTGATGATTCATTTCTAAAAATGATGTGCATTGTCAATAATAATAATGCAAATAATGAGAGTGTAAATTATTGTTGTGCAAACAAAAGGCAAATCAACATCAGGCAAAAACATTAGTTTATTCGGCCTAAAAGGGCCATAAATAAAACTTTATTCTCTCGATTTACAAGCCACAGGATGTCCATGGCTGTCTACCACAGCACTGAAAACATCTCATTCTGGCTCAGTCCACAAACACGAGACCCCTGGGAGGTCCCCTGAGCCGCTGATAAATCTGAAGGCTCTCTTCCTTACTTCCTTAGAAAAGTAAAACAAAACGTGTTAATACTGTACCAAACTGGAGGCAGAGCAGCGGGGAGATGAGGGGGCTTTAGAAAGGGCTGTGTGTGCGGTGGGGAAAGCTGGAATCAAACTGCAACAACAACAATAATAACTATGAAAAACCCTTGTTTATGTTTGTTTTTCTCAAAGCTGAAGCAAAATTTGCTTGGCTTTCAACCACTGCACTGCCACTGTTCCTCCATCTCCTTTCTTCAACAGTCCAGCCTCCTTCCTGTGTTTTGCTTCAAATAAAGAGGAAATCATATTTATAATGATAAAACCTATAGCAGCCAAAGAGTAACAGAGGAATAAGAGCTAGAAGCAAGAGACCACTGGCTTTAGAAGGAAGGCATGGGTTAAGAGAGGTCCATGGATGTGTGCCTGTGACGAGGGAGGTGTCCGGCCAGCCCCCCCCCGCGCTCATCTCCCCTCAGTGGGCACTCGGCCCATGGCGGCCATGACGAGACTGAAGCGCTCACTCAGATCCAGGGTGGAGAAGGTGGGCAGCTTGGGGGGGTCGTGGAAGCTTTTGATCTCCGTGGAGCAGTCCAGTAACTTGGGGAGGAAGTCGGTCAAGCGTTCCTGGAGGTTGGCTACCAGCAGGAAGAGGAAACACACAGAGAGGAAGTCAATGATAACAGTCTGACATAACAATGTGCTGATCACTAAACACAGAATGATACCACAAGTAGTATGAAAACATGTTCCAGCAGAGGAACAGATTGTAAAAATAGCAAAAGGGTCTGGATGATAAAACCTTTCCTGAACTAAGGCCAGGAGCACTCCGAGGGCTGATTCTGCAGCAGACTGACAAAACGCTGAGTCCTCGACAATCCCGTTTCTCCACCGAGAAATGATTTAACTAATAAACACACTCAAATGTTTCTTTTACATGTATTTAAGTACATTGATTACAAATGTGAGGTACTTCTACTTTCCTTATGTATTTCCATTTTAGGTTGCTTTGTAATATTGTAATGTTTACTGCACTACAGTTTTTTTAAGATGGCTTTATTTACTAGTTACTTTACAGATTATTATAGGTTCATCTAAATTGCAGCAGGAAAATAAAATATGAGCTCTACTTTTAACAGCTCTAAGTTATGAACACATTAATGCGTCCCAGCTTATTATCAATAAATATTAAAAATATTATTCTAAAATGTACTTTTTATGCTCATACTTCTGTACTACAGTTGCAAGAAAAAGTATGTGAACCCTTTGGAACTACCTGGATTTCTGCATAAATTGGTCATAAAATGTGTTCTGATCTTCATCTAGGTCACAACAATAGACAAACACAGTCTGCTTAAGCTAAAACCACACAAACAATTATATGTTTTTATGTTTTTATTGAACACACCATGTAAACATTCACAGTGCAGGGTGGAAAAAGTATGTGAACCCTTGGATTTAATAACTGGTTGACCCTCCTTTGGCAGCAATAACCTCAACCAAACGTTTCCTATAGTTGCATATCAGACCTGCACAACGGTCAGGAGGAATTTTGGACCATTCCTCTTTACAAAACTGTTTCAGTTCAGCAATATTCTTGGGATGTCTGGTGTGAATCGCTCTCTTGAGGTCATGCCACAGCATCTCAATTGGGTTGAGGTCAGGACTCTGACTGGGCCACTCCAGAAGGCGTATTTTCTTCTGTTGAAGCCATTCTGTTGTTGATTTACTTCTGTGCTTTTGGTCGTTGTCCTGTTGCATCACCCATCTTCTGTTGAGCTTCAATTGGTGGACAGATGGCCTTAAGTTCTCCAGCAAAATGTCTTGATAAACTTGAGAATTCATTTTTCCATCGATGACGGCAATCTGTCCAGGCCCTGAGGCAGCAAAGCAGCCCCAAACCATGATGCTCCCTCCACCATACTTCACAGTTGAGATGAGGTTTTGATGTTTGTGTGCTGTGCCTTTTTTTCTCCACACATAGCGTTGTGTGTTCCTTCCAAACAACTCAACTTTGGTTTCATCTGTCCACAGAATATTTTGCCAGTAGTGGTGTGGAACATCCAGGTGCTCTTTTGCAAACTTCAAACGTGCAGCAATGTTTTTTCAGAACAGCAGTGGCTTCCTCCATTTTATGAGCAACTTATGCAGAAATCCAGGTAATTCCAAAGGGTTCACATACTTTTTCTTGCAACTGTATGTACTTTAACTTGTTACATTTTTTTTAATGCAAGACCTTTACTTGTAACAGAGTGTCTTTATGCTTTAGTAGTGCCATTTTTACTTAAATTAAGTTAAAGACCTGACTACTTGTTTCATTACTGCCAGCATGTCTTGTGATCTCTTAAAGGTTAGTTTTGGGTCTCCGACTCTCTCTGACGGAGCATTTACTCATGGCTAGGAAGCTCTGGAATCACCTCATTGTTAAACTCGTCTCCGTGTGTTCTTCTAGATAAAACATTGAGATTTCCACAATGGAAAAGCCTTTCCTCATAAATGAACTGAGCAGTGGCCTGATTATGATGGCCTTTGGCCGGTGGAATGTACTAGTGACCCAATCCTTCCTCCTTCCTCTCTCCTCCTCCTCCTCCTCCTCCAGGCACTCACACTCCATCTCCTGGCCCAGGTAGGAGCACCAGCGGTTTCTCATGTCCTCCACGGCCAGCAGGTCCCTCTCCGTGTCGTGGATGAGCAGCAGAGGGATGCAGGGCACCACCAGCTCGTTCATGATGCCCAGACCCGTGTTCACCTCCGCCTCTTCTCCAGACTCAAACATGGCCGCCGCCTGCTCGTTCAGTTTCTGCACAAGAAATATACAGAAAATGATACAATTGTCAAGTACATTCAAAGGCTTTATTGTTCATAATCACAGCTACAGTGTAGTTATGTCTCACTTGGATCATGCTCCGTATTTTGGATCTGCAGTTCTTCCCATAGCGGTTTGAAGAGCTCAGATCTAGACCCTAACATGAAGTATCTTTGAAGTCTTTAGGCCCTGTGTTCACAAAGCGCCTTTTTCTGAGCCCCAGCCTCTTTTTTTATCGTTTTCGATGAGGGGTGAGCACATGTGGCCTCTTCGAAACAAAGCGCAGCACCACTTTTCTCTGAGCACTTAATCTGTGCAGTCGATCCGAGCGATTTGAGTTGAAAATATTTCCACTTTTCAGAAAAGTGCAGGTGACAACACTGAAACAGTTGGAGGAGAAGCTTGTGTTGGCCGTGTTCTTAATGTAAACATAACAAAACAAAGACGGAGATGTTTGTGAAGATCAGCTGAGTTGACCCTGGATGCTGCTGCTGCTGGTGAGTGTGTGACATTTACTGGCGTACACAGACTGTGCTCTTCACTCCGAATAAATATAGTGTCTATCAAATCAATAGTTAAAAGCAAGGGGGCAATAGTCTTGCTTTAAAAGCTGTAATATTTATGTCAAGATAGTGTTCTGATAGAAACAATAAAAAAGATAACTTCGGAGGAGGCTCTGTCCAGCACCCTGCCAGCAAAAGACAATATATGGCTTAACTGACTTCATATTTTTCCAATATATGTATTAATTATTTATTTTTTTATCTAATGTGACGTACTATTTTTATTACAAACAACTTTCTTATGTTTTCACTTTTACTATTTTCATTACATGCATTTCCCAATTGTTACTTTCTAGTGAAGTTTGCAATTTGTTCCACTGATGAATACTAGAGAGCTCATGTTCTCCCACAGACATTACTTAGTGGGTACTGAGTTGACTTTTTTCCTGTTCTGGGCCAGAACCTACTTGCCGTCACAGACAAACCCCCTGACCTCCTCTCAGACTAACCATGTGTTTCTGGAGTTCTGAATCGGGGGACTGCGAGGCTGGATTTGAGAATAATCCAAGAACATTAACTGTGTCAATGTTAGCCATGTTTTCAGTTAAAACAAGAGCTGGAGGTAAACAGCTGAGAGAACCGCGCCACAGATCTGGCCTGAGATCTGAGATGAGCTGAGGTTAGCCGAGGACGTGCTTGTGTCTCATACTAATGTGTTTACACTCAATGCCCCCCCTCTCCCACTCCAATGATTACATTACGAGCACAATGCTGGTGTAAGGTTAGCGAGTGCAGTAGGGAGAATGCTGCTAAAGTGTGTGGCTGATCAGACCAAAATATCCACAGCCCCAACCAATAACGCCACAGCCTGGAGCTGAGGGGTGAAATGAAAAGAGGCTCCCATCACAACACTGAAAGCATTTTCATCTGCCAGTATCAGATGAAAAAGTGGCCTGCAAGCAAGCCAAAGCAATATCTCAGGAAAGCAATTTGATTATAGTCCAGCAGCTCAGTATTGAAGGGAAAAGTCTGCCTGTGTTTTGCTGAGTGTCTTTAACTGAGGAAGTTTGAAAGAGAGGAAGAGGAGATCACAGCGAAGACACAACAGAGGTAATGCCCACTTTGCGATCACTGTTACAAGGTCAAAATGATAAATATCCACTTGTTTCAATGTAGCATAGTGATGCAGGTATGACTTGTTTTTTTATGGGCTGCTCCGGAAGTTAGCATCGCCTCGACAAAAAAGCTTTGGGATTTTAACATTGGATTTTGGAATATTGCAGAAAACAAGATATGTGGCTAACACATGTTTATGATACTTACACATTTTGCTCAGCAGGATCATCTCCACATATTAACACCACTTAAGAATGTTTTAAGTGTAAATGGAATCTCCAGACGTAAAAAGCTAACTGCTAACAGCACAGTCACATGACTTCACGTCACCACCGCTAACCTAAAGGCGGGTAATGTTCCGTGTGATGACGTCTAGTAGTCTCATTTAGTTACGTGTTAGCAACCGCTGTTTTAAGAAACGTAAAAGCTTCATACATTCACCAGTGGGGTATTTATTGACATATATTATGTCGTAGAACAAAACGTTAAAATCACATAAGCTTGTTATAACCACAGTCCTTATTTCAGGCATTTAACTAGAAACACATTAAAAAACTAATGACTAAGAGATGAGGGAACCAAAATGCTAACTCAATTCCAGGTTTTTACGACTCATTCCAGCGCCACTCTGTTGAGAAGTTGTATGAAGTCAATTGTGACTGGTTCATTGCCTCACCAGCAAACACTGGCGACGGTAGTGACCCAGGAGCTCCTCGTCGTGCCCTCTGTAAAGCCCTTTAGACAGAAGCTCCTTGTTGTACTGGTACGCGTAAATCAGATACATCAGAGCATCTATGTAACTGAAAAGAAAAAGAGATCATATATTCAGATGAAATACTATCAAAGCTGCAGTGAGAACTTTTGAAGGGAACCAATTTCACAGAAGGAGTTAAGAGCAGTGGACTGTGCCTAAGTACATTCTTGAGGTATTTTTACTTTACTTGAGTGTTTAAATGTATTGCTACTTAATACTTCTACTCTTAATATTGTACTTTTACTCCGCTCTTTAGGTACTTTGCATTAATGATATAAAATATAATAAACACATTAATGAATACTTAAATAATACCATGGGTATTTCTTCTCACACCATGACCACCCTTCTCTTTTCAAATAAGCCATTCTGCATAACAAGTACTTTTTGAGGTTTAAGTACAGTATATGTTGATGCTAATACTTTTACTTAAGAACTATTTTTGCATGAGTTTTTCTACACTCTGGTATTTCTACTTTGACTTAAGCACAGGATCTAAGTACTTGTTTTACCTCTGGAATGAACTCGATGAACTCACTGCACAAATATAAAGCGTGCACAGACTGTGAGCTGCTGCCCTCTGCAGGTGACATTTAACATTTATTGGCTGCTACAGATGGGAAATGAACTGAGAAGAGTATCATTAAAAAGGGTTGCGCTTTTGATGTGTAACACTGAACTCATTTGACTTAAAGCTCTCTCAAAATAGTTGCAGATTGAGTTCATGGTTTCTAATATTAGATATGAGCAGAAGCACTGGAAAGGTGTCGTCATACTTGGTCTTCTGAAAGAGCTCCAAGCCAGTCATCATGGAGATGGTTGTCTCACGGAAATTCCGGTAGGCCTGATGCCACATCTGTTAAAGACAAACAGACGTCACTTAAATTCAAATACAAGGTGAAGCATCCATGCATTAAGTGGATTGTAATGATTAACTACGTCTAACTAAAGGTAATATACAATACTGCATTATTAAAGGTAGTGTAAGATGACTCAGAAGACAATGCTGCTCACCTCATATTCATCCATGTTGACCTCCTCAGGCTTAATGAGGTCCAGTTTTGCACGTGCCACATTCATTATGCTCTTACATCTGTGGGGGGGGGAGATTATGTGTCATTGTGAGGTACTCCATGATGAAACAGTCCTCCCTGCCCGAGGCCTAATGAATCACTTTACTGCTGAGAGGAGAAGTGAAACACTCCTCCCGAGGCTCCTATTGAGGCCACATGCACACATAAATCTAATTATCTGGCTCAAAATAGCGGAGGACGGAGAAATCAATGTTCTACTCATGAATATGGATCGAGGCCAATAAGCGTAGTTTAAAAGTTTTAAGAGATAGTATTGCAAACCATAATGACATGAAGATCACAATGTTAATCAGGAGGGAATCCTAATATTTCTCATTGTTGGGCATGTCTCCTACGATTTGTTTTTGATTATAAGAAGAGGGCATATGAGCCGAGAGGACTTGCTCAGTTTGTGCTGACAGTAAATGTGTCAGAGGGAAGCTCTCTGCTGCCCTCTGCAGGCCATTCTGAGAGGGAAGCTCTCTGCTGCCCTCTGCAGGCCATTCTGAGAGGGAAGCTCTCTGCAGGCCATTCTGAGAGGGAAGCTCTCTGCAGGCCATTCTGAGAGGGAAGCTCTCTGCAGGCCATTCTGAGAGGTTCATTTGATTTTAATCCTCATGATTTATCAAGGGGCTTAAAAAAGACAATAATAATAATAATAAAAATAACAATACATGTTATTTATATAGCACTTTTCCAGAGGCCTGTACTAGGAAGCAAGATTTTCGCTTAGCCGGCTAACTTCAGGGAAAACTCGGGGTTTCCGGTCCTACGACGCTGGTTCTCTTTTTAGCGGGCTAGATCAAGTCATATTACAGGAGAAAGGAAATACAGAAAAGCTGTCGTAGCAGGAAAGACGGCCGGCAAAAATCACCGAGTGTGTGAACGTGAACATCAATAGAATATCCCCTCCCATCTTCAGAGCAATCTGACTATTATAACATTAGCGTTAAGAAAGCTTACTTAAATATCTGCCACAACATAAGTAACCGGATCAGAGTAACATTAAGTACAGTCCGCGGCATATCACATCATAATGTATCATATATTCCTTATCTGAGTCAGCTGAGCCGTATCTGGCCGTGCAACACTCACAGTGTAACATACTGTATGCAGAAGTATTATTTTAAGCAACACATTAAGTTGACGAAACACTCGAGTCAAATGTAATTAAAGTCAGATCGTGTCTTGGACGGGGCAGTGATATCATAAACCTGTTAATGTACGCATTCAAACACTTTTTCTTTTACCAGCTGTATTCACCTTGCAGGTGCAGCTATGTGGCTTTTATCCTGGATAAAGTGTTTAAGTCATGGATGTTTAAACTTCTTCATATGTCTAATATTATAGTTGACTTTTCATTCAGGAAGTATGACGCGCTGCGCTGTCAGTACCCCTCTCCATGTTTGTGATTGGTCGAATGCTCCAAATACCACCCTTTTCATGTGAACGCGCACCTAACTAGAAAGGATAGGACTGGCTTGAGCGATCCACTTGATAACCCGCGCCGTAGGACCGCTTAGCGAGAGCGCGTATGTTTTGGATTAGGCCAACTGCCTAACTCAAACATATCCAGGTTAGGTTGACCCAGCTTCGTAGTACAGGCCTCTGGTTTCCTGTGTTCCATATTTGTTTGAACAGCCAGGTTTCATAGCGTGTATCAGAAACTGAATATTTTCTTTATTTATCCTAGGGAAAATTGTGTTTTGTGAAAGTTGATCTATTTTGGAATGAACTCAATAAAAACAAATTTGAAAAATAGAATAAAAATATTCAGAACAAAAGTTAAGGTAAGAATGTGCAACAAAACAATAAAAAAAAAAAAAGAAAGTACAAATGTGTAAAAAAAAAAACAAGTAAAATATCGAACACAAGATTAAGAAATATAATAAAATATATATATAAACATAGGTAGTTAAAGTAAGAATGTGCATCTCAAATGTAATTAAATAAAGATATTTTTATAATCATAGGAAGTTAAACTAAGAACTTGCAGTAAAAAGATAAAATGTGTATATTTACATAATAAGTTATTTTAATATTATTTAAAGGTGGGGTAGATAATTTTCCAAAATTATCTACCCCACCTTTAAATAATATTAAAATAACTTATTATGTAAATATACACATTTTATCTTTTTACTGCAAGTTCTTAGTTTAACTTCCTATGANAGGCAGATAGCGTGTGCAGCGGTCTGCTTGCGCACAGAGCCGGAGTTTGTGAGAGAGCCGGCTTGAGTCAATTTCTCTTCAAAATATAATTGATTGCCAGCCTCCCTTGTCCCTGGCAAATCAGTTACGTTGGTAACGTAACTGATTTCTTCTAATGTGCCTGCATCTGGCGCTGAGTTGCCATATTCCTTTCATGAACCACTTCCTGATATCCATTGTTGCAGATAAATATAAATGATAATAGCCAAACTAACCTAGCAAGAGTAAACTGACAGGCTGCTGTGCCGCATCTCACTCAAAAACCCACACGACTCAACCCAGCGAAAAACCAGTCTCGCACGCAGCCTTTCATTCAGAATTTCATTCAGAATTTGATAGCAAAATAAAAAAATGATATTAAACTAATCTTTCAACATAGTTTAAAACAAAAATAAATATTAGGACAGAGCCCTACAAATAACAACCATAAACATAATAATAAAACAATTAAAATGTTGTATTCAGCCCTGATTAAAACTGCGGGCCCAAATCCTGGATGGGCGGGCCCAAATCCTGGATGGGCGGGCCCGGCCCCATGGGCCTCCCCCGTCGACAGGGGGTCGCCAGTCTCTGGCACTGTTATTTTGAGGGTCGCGGGCTGAAAAGTTTGGGAACCCCTGCTTTAGCTCACTGAGTCTCTCAGTCTGACAGGAGAGGACTCTCCTCCACTTTGTTGTTGAAAAAACTCCTTATATCCGTTAGCGTAGCTCGCTAGCACCAGAAGCTAACAACAACGATCTCCGGTACCGGTGCGCTCTCGCTCTCTCTTGCTCGCGTACGCACACAAAATGGCTCGTTCCACACACACACACACACACACACACACACACACACACACACACACACACACACACACACACACACACACACACACACACACACACACACACACACACACACACACACACAACACACAGCCCCACTTTGAGAACCACTGCAGTAGAGACACTACACACCGATATGAACCTGAAGATGAGCATTACAGCGCAACTCCTTGGTATAGCTTTAAAGATAGATGTACAGTTAACTTGTGTCTCCTTACATTTAAGTTGTGTATTGTAAAAATAATATACATTATATATATATAATCACAAACCAAAATTGGTGTATAAGGTTTTAACATTTACTGAAAATACAACATAGTAGAGTAAAATAATTCCACTTCAAGTATAATTCCATTCAAAATCCTACTTAAATAAAAGTAAATCAACAGACCGGTTATGTTATTTTTTCACACAGTTAACGTGTCTTGGAAATGTCAATAGACAACATTTCTTAACTTATACAAAACAAATGAGATCCTTTCAGTATTCATATTTATAAGACAAATCACTCCCTACGGCTGCTCCATTTCATTGCTGTTCTTCTGACTCAGCTGACAGTTATCTCTTATCTATAACAATTAATGCTCAGACCCACCCCTCTGAACTTTGCAATAACTAATATTGACTAGGAGTTAGCTGTTTGTGCATAGCTCCTATAATGTGATGCACATATGTGTTCTCCTTACGTAAGCATACACACAACAGCAGTTTCTGAGTGGAGGTCAGCCTTCTGCCCTCGCTACTCATCATTCATGTCACTGCACTGTGTATGAGTCAGATAGGCTTTGACTTGAATTATCGGCTGCCATTGATGTCTATGAGATATGACCTCGTGAAAGGCATGTTCCCCTTGACAAATCAGTCCACGAGTCATCTCAAACCTAAAGCTCAGTGTATATCAAAAGATGACCGACGATACATTGGACTTTCCCATAGTTTGAACCTCTCACATCCATGTCCCAAAGGCATTCCTGTATTTACTCATTTTGTATGTATGTCTGTTTTTCCCTCTACAGCAGGATGTGAGCGAGTTCACCCACAAGCTGCTGGACTGGCTGGAGGACGCCTTCCAGATGAAGGCAGAAGAAGACAGGTAATCATTCTCTCTCTATCCAGAGGTCATTGTTAAAAGATTGGACAAAAGGTGGACAAATGTTTGCTGGTGGTGTAAGGCAGCACATTTAAATCAGTGTACATTTTGAACATGGAACTGTATCAAAGTTGCCACAACATTTTTTTTCTTTTAATCTTTGCTTTCAGGGAGGGTGAGAAGCCCAAAAACCCGATGGTGGAGCTTTTCTACGGTCGCTTCCTTGCTGTGGGTGTCCTGGAAGGTGAGATGAGCTGTTAAATTAAAACCAATAACAGAGAAAATGAGGGGTAAATGAAAACCACAGAGAGCGAGTGTGTGTAAGCATGGCTTGATTGCTGCAGCCAGAAAGCACGCAAGTTCTTGCCCCCAGTAATGAAAGGTGACCTTGTCTTAATGAGATGTGGGCCATGTAAAAGGGGAGAGCGGTTGCATTGATCGTGGAAGTCCTTGATGGCTGATTGACATTGTGCTTATTATGCATGACAATACTGGCCTAGAGCCACTGAAAGCTGGGCCAGTGGACTCTGTTGCTCAGAAATGACCTTAATGCCTCAGCTGCATGTCCCCTAGCAACTCCTCCCTTCCTTTGTTTCGGGCTTCTCATCAGCAGTTGATGCAGGGAGGACTGTGCAGCTGTTTGATGATCAGTGACGGCCAAACAAGGGAAATTAGCTTGGATGAAACGGGGGTAAACTGCTCATGTACTGGCATTTTCTTTTACACTCACGGCTTTCCAACTAACCTTTGATCTGCATTAGAAATGTATGTGATGTAGGCCCTGTGTCCACATTGTGTCTTTTCTGGCAGAAAAAAAGCTCCAACCACAAGGTTCTATGTTTCCTGACACCTCATCACCACGTTTATAAGACAAACTAGCTTCGCCCCCTTGCCTTTTAGCGATGCATTAAGACTACTATGTGTCTCACCATGAGCGAATACGCTTGCTCTCACACTTTGTTGAATGTGTTAGGGGGAGCTTGTCCCTGCACAAGGGCCTGCCTAGTTGATCAGCGCAAGCAACAGCACAGTGCTGGCACTCAGAATAAGGAGCTATGTGGACACCGACACTACTTGCTCTTTCTCTCTCACAGGGTGATCATACATTTACCTTTTATGGATAACCCTTACACTTTTTAACGCATCAGCTGCACTATGAATGCTCATCTGTTAACTACTATTGTACGTGTGTAATTCCACAGGAAAAAAGTTTGAAAACACAGAGATGTTTGGGCAGTACCCGCTGCAGGTGAACGGGTTCAAGGATCTGCACGAGTGTCTGGAGGCCGCGATGATCGAGGGCGAGATCGAGTCCCTGCACTCTGCAGAGAACTCAGCCAGATCTGGACAAGAGGTCAGTGCCACCAGTTGTTTCCATTTGTAATATTGGAGAACAGTTTGTGCCCCATGGAAATGATTCCTTAATTCTATGGGGCACAACACCAGGTCAAAGACTTAGGTTTCAGTAGATAGGAGAAATAAGAGCAAACGATCCGGTCTTTTTCTTTTGGGATTATGCGGTGGATCCTCTTCAAAGGGCACACCTCCTTGGCCTTTTGTCACACCTTTGCTATTCTGGATCTGATCTCTGTTTAGCTGTAGTCCTACCAACACTGTCCCAGAGTAGCTGGAAGCAGCTTGTAACCAGGCCAGTACACAGATCAGTAAAGCACCCACTGCAGCCATGACAATGAAGGAAGGGAGCATTAGAGACACTCAAACCAATACAGGGCTTTCCAAAGGAACGTGCTAGCACAAAATGAATTATTGTACTATATTATACTCACAATTTGTTCATTTCATTTGATTTTAAAATGGAAAATATAGTGAGCTCATGTCAATTAAATGGTTTGAACTGGTTCTAAATGTGTAGAACCCTGAGCACTTTATTGGTATTTGAAGGAACCGGTGACAAGTTTTAGTGGAATAGGGAATATGTTGCTTTATTTTAGGATTCAATTTAAGCCTACTGTATGTCAATTGTTTTTAAAAAGATTATTAATGTTGTTTTCTTTATATTTTCTTCAGCTATTGGCACCAGTGCCCCTTATGATACATGTTTGCATAGACCACTAATAAAGAGTTTAGGGACGTCACTAAACCACAAGGTACCGCTGGATGTGTGACAAGTGAATGTTTAAGGAATTCTTCTCTAAAGGGAAAAGGTCTGACCAAACTCTATGTTTACACAACATTATTAAAACTCAATATCCACATTTTCTTTCAGCACTGGTTCACAGAACTCCCTCCCGTGTTGACCTTTGAACTGTCAAGGTTTGAGTTCAACCAAGCTCTGGGACGACCTGAGAAGATCCACAACAAGCTGGAGTTCCCCTCCATGCTCTACATGGACAGGTACGAGGAGTTACAGTATTTGTCTTTGCAGTAAATAAAAAATGAATCCCAAGTAATGATGAACACCTCTGATGTGTTTTTGTTTTGTCAGGTACATGGACAGGAACAGGGAGACAACCAGGATCAAGAGGGAGGAGATCAGGAGGCTGAAAGAGCATCTGACTCTTCTGCAGCAGCGGCTGGAGAGGTACTTTTCTCCAGAGTTCAACAATAACTGTTTTACCAAAGGTCAACAAATACGGTAATGGAGAGTCATGTTGTGCTCTGAGCCTCCCTTCTCTTTGCCTGCCTTTAATTCCTTTAAGGGATAATATGAGGCGGTCCCCCCGTCTGGATCCCAGTTATAACGCTGCTATTTTCTAAATAAATCAATAATTTGACACAACACATTGATTTCAACATGATTCTAATGATTTAGAAAGTATTGTATTCCTATCACTAAGAAAACATAGGCATTCTACTGTGTTGAAAGGGTTAAATTGCAGCTGCAGAAATGCTTCTTAAAATGACGGCAGCCTGTATCAAGGTGTCTGTAACTGTGAAGTCTGTTCACATTTTCTTTTGTATTAACCAGTCTTTAAACACTGCCACAGCCCATACCTGTTACTAGTGTCACTTACTGTCTTCTACTCCTACCGTTAGTGTTTACTTCCTGTCGTGTTCTGCTGATTTCTCTTTCCAGCACTCTGTCTTTTAAACTCTCTCCTTCTCTTGCTCTGTTTTCTCGTTCTTCTTATCTTTTTGTCACTGGGGACAGTTTAGTCACCATGAATCCAAACAACCTGCTGGCCACCAATATACAAATGCATATTCAAAAATGTATTTATGGTGTTTTTGGATAGAGAAATACGTATGTGCCCTTTTGGCCAAAACTGATGTACATATTCCCTTGAATAGAGTGTCCTTTGCAACGTTTTGATTACAAGAAAGATCAGACCAGTTGATGTCCAAATTGACAACGTGTAGGAAGTCATTATTTCTCCCTCTCTGGGCTCATCTCTTTGACACTCACCGTGACTCTCTGTTCCCTCTCAGGTATCTGAGTTATGGCTCAGGCCCCAAGAGGTTTCCTCTGGCAGATGTCCTCCAGTATGCCATGGAGTTTGCCTCCAGTAAGCCTGTGTGCACCTCCCCAGTGGAAGACATTGACACATCAGCTCCCCCTGGTGGTACAACAGGACAACAGCTGCCCTCACAAAGGCAGGTTCCATAAAAGATATCCTGCTGTATGTTATCAGTGCTTTCCCTCCTTCCACCACTCCAGGGTGTCCGCGGGGTCTTAAAAAGTATTAAAAGTTGATAAATCAATTTAGCGAAAATTAAGGCTATTAAAAAGTATTAAACTGCATTTCCAAGGTATTAAGAAGTCCCACAGCAACGACAACATGAACCACCCTTTAATTTACTGATACGACATGTCGGGAAACCCCCTCAAGGCGGCCCCATGCATAGCGCGCCGTAAAATGCTGCTTCTTATTTTAAGATTTGTTGCCTTGCTCTGCTCTGTGGGGGAGGGGGCACTAAACGACTACGGTAAAGATAACGGGTCCCAGGTCCCAAGGTGGGTAGACCAGCATACGCAACGCTCTGGGGGGTCCAAAGGCTTCGTGTGTAAGCCCTATATGATCATTTTCTGATAACGATGAAATAGCCCCGCCTCCCTCTCCCAACGTCTCCTGCTGCTGCTGGGCTGTCAGAAGAGGGGGAGGAAAAGAGAGGCAGGCACTGTTTATTAAATATTCTTATGTTATTATACAGAGAACAGAGTCGTTATCAATTTGTTTTAAAGCTCAATAAATAACAAAGAAGACCTCTGACTGGCACTTTTCTAATTTTGTACGGAAGATTTAAACTTTAACGGACATGTTGACCGGCGGAATTTTTTTTTAACGGAAACTCTGCCTCACGGTTCCCTCGTCCCTTGGAAGAGGCGGAGAGGTGGGTGTTTTTCATCTGCTGGTGGACTACCTGAGATATATACAGCAGGAGAACACGCCGTCCACCGCGGAGAATAAACAGCATGGCAACCATGCTCCGGGGTCTTCTTCGCTGCTTTTGGTGTTTTTTGTGGCGGGAGCAGCGCCACTTACAGGCCTGGCATATGTACTACAGCGTTTCCAGTTTCCAGTGTGAACGGACACGTTAATGAATCGAATGCGTGTGAACAGAAGACTTTTTTGCGTTTGCGTATGCGTTTTACCGTATGCGTCCTCGTGGGGCCGGGGTCTAAGCCAAATTATATCCGGTCACAGAGATCTGCTATTTTAAAGTAAAGTCAACACATATCGACCCTAAATATACTCTATATTAAGAACGAGAAATGTCTTAACATCGTTTTTTGCGATCATATGACAAATGTGTGAGGGCTTAGCCCCGGACAGCCCCAGCCCAATTTAACCCCTGGGTATTTGTGAGGGAGCTCCTATATGGCATTACCCCGCTGAAGCTCACCAAAGTTTAATATATTTCATAGTTCAAAGTTTTGTCAATTGTTTTGTTTATTGGTCAAATACTGGTTTCTAATGGTTTCTGAGGAGTTTTACTGGAATGAAAGAGCACAGAGTCTACAGAAGCAACAAAGCAGCATACTGCATTAAACCTGACCTTCACAGAGAGGTTGAAGTTCATGTGGAAAGGAGGCTTCAGTAGTCTGTCTGCAATCTGTTTAGTTGTGCTGTCTTACAATCAATATAGTAAATGTGAGGTAAAGTGTGTAACCGGTTAGAAATCGAAGTTGCGATGAGGTCTTAACATGTATGGAAAGGGTCTTAAAAAAGGTCTTAAAAGGTATTAAATTTGACCTCAGGATTCCTGCATATACCCTGCACTCGCTGTGTTTCAGGAGCAGGAAGCATGGGGGTGCAGAGTCAAGCAATGGGAAGAATCAGTGGAAATGAATTCCACAAGCATCTCATATTCTCTTTTACTAGTAATCACCAGAATGAGAATCAAAATCGGAATTGTATTTAGTGTATAATGGTCTGTATATAAACACAGTTGGAGGAATTAGATTGTAAAGAAGAAGCAAACTATTAAAACTACTTTAAAATAAAAAAGCAAGTATACAGATAATATGAAAAATATATATGAAAAATTACATATGTGCATTATATTATAATTGATAGAGCTGTGTAATTTTAAAAGAGATAATAAGGAACAGAAATGAGCAAAATATAAAGTAGAATTTGATATATCGTTTTGTAATAGAGTGTTCCTAATATTATGTTGTTATAGTTTAGCTTTAAACAAAAAAACAAACAACCAATTCTCAAATATTCCTATATAAAATATTAATATTTATTTATTATTCACACCGGAGTACTTTTCCCAGAAATAGTTCCGATAGTTCCTGGAATGTTGCGTTCACACCAAAAATATCTTTTTTTTCAGGAACCTTTTTACCCCTTTTTAGTCCCTGCTAGAGAGCAGGGACTTTCATGGGAGAAAAAGGTTCCAATTTCTGATTGGCTGGGCGAATTGCAAACCACTCCCCGTAAAACTCTGAAAAGCTTTTGTGAAGCCGCCATTTTATTTTCTCGCATTAGCATTATTAGCATTAGCCCAGCGCACCAACGGAGAGAGACTAATTTATGGCAACACAAAATAAAACGTGGGATCGCTGGAGTGATGTGGAGATGTTGGCGCTTCTGGCGATTTACCCGGGGCTTCGGGTGGCGATTTACTGCCACCCAAAGTCCCAGACTCCAGGGGGCTCCGTAATCCTCCCTCAGGGACTTATTCCGGTGTGAACGTGATTTACTAGATAGTTCCGGGGAAATAAAAGTTCCTTGAACTGTTCCTGGGAAAAGTACTTGGTGTGAAAGCGCCTATTGGGGCCGAAAGTTTTATAAGCCGATAAAATCAACAATCACAGGGTCTAATTAGAGCCACTTACACAATACCCCAGCACACCATCCTGCTATTGGCAGACCCTTTATAATGATGCTTTTTAAATTGTTTCTGACATACCCTTACTTTCTCCCTGCAGCACAACCGAGCAGGACTCCTTGCCGGCTGCAGAGAGCTCAGGCCCTGCCTCAGCTCCCACCACAGCTCCCACTGCAGCCCAGCAGCACAGGATACCCATCCATAAGCCCTTTACCCAGTCCCGGTTACCCCCCGACCTCCCCATGCACCCCGCTCCGAGGCACATCTCGGATGAAGAGCTGAGGGTGCTCGAGGGCTGCTTGCACCGTTGGAGGAGTGAAGTGGAGAATGACACTCGTGGTAGGTCCTTCATCATGAATGACCTGTACCTCTGTTAAAGCAGAACGCATCTTACTAAGATATGTTGTGTTATTTTCTTCCTCCCAGATCTGCAGGGCAGCATAAACAGAATCCACAGAACTGTTGAGCTAATGTACTCTGACAAATCAATGATGCAGGTGAGCAGCACTTTTCTATAATCAGCCATATTCGCAATATACAGTATATCCCCATCAACTGCTTGTTATCAGCTTTTTTTTTATGTCCTGTCTCTTGTTCCAGGTTCCATACCGGCTCCATGCAGTGCTTGTCCACGAAGGCCAGGCCAATGCAGGCCATTACTGGGCTTACGTCTACGACCCCAATCAGCGCTGCTGGATGAAGTACAACGACATCTCCGTCACCAAGTCTTCCTGGGAGGAGCTGGTCAGGGACTCGTTTGGAGGCTACCGCAACGCCAGTGCCTACTGTCTGATGTACATCAACGACAAGAAGCCCTTCCTCATAGAAGGTACACAGGGGCCACGCTTTAGCCAGCAGTGGGGATCATTTGGAGGCTATCTTTGTTTGCCTCTGTTCGTAATTCAGATATTATTGTGACATAAACAGATACAGATATTAGCTTTGTATTAGACCCCGGTAATTATACAGCCTTACCCCTGAGCTTTTTGTTCATTTAACACTTATCTAATATATCACTTTAAAAAAAGTTTTGATGCTGAAGCCATATCTCCTCTTGGACAGTTTGTAGTGATTTGGCCACTTAAGACCTGCTGTTGAAGTGGAAATGACAAAATAGAACAAGAACAATTGAGTTATTTTTTTCTATCATTGTCTTTCAACGTTGTAAGACACACAGGAGAAAACAACAAGAAACATACATGTCAACAATGTCAAAAATAATACAATTCAAAAGATATCAACTGACATGTAAGCACTTTGAATAGTTACCTTTGTAACATTATTAACACAAATACAGCAATACATTTAAATATATACAAAAATTATATAATGTATGAATAAATAAAGAGCATAGGTTTGAGTTTTAAGTCGCTCGATAACAAAAGCGCTTTTATTTCTAGTATTCTAAGTGTAGCACTGAAAATAAGTAGCCATTTCTGTTCAAATTATTTCTACAAAGCTCACTTATGGCGCATTTCCACTACACCGCGGTATAAGCGTGCCCGGCCCGTTTTTGGTTGCGTTTCCAATAGGCGTAGTTCCGGCTAGCGGGTACTTTTTCGCAGTTTTCTGGCTCTCCAAAATCGAGGTTCTTTTCGTGCCAAAAAACCGGGCTGAACTAAACTAGTGAGAGAATCGCTGGCAACTACAACAAAATGAACATATTTTACCGCGATTTAATTGTAGTACAAGTTTCAAAATGATGCCGAAGTAACAACGTACTGATACCGGTTAGTAAAAACTATGAATTAATGTTTTGACAAGTCTGCATGCAGACGGCAGGCGAAAAACCTTTTAAAATGCGTGTTTTCTGAATGGAGATCGGCTAAGCTAACGCAGTGTATGCTCCGACCGTCCACACTCACAACAGCGACCTACAGACATAAATAAACCAGCGACTGTATTCGCCATGACACAGACAGTCTGTGGTTTGTACTTGTTTAACTTTTGTCTAGTTTCTGAACAGATATATGAGGAGCTTTGAGCTTGAGTGCTAACAGCTAACAGCTGATGTTGGTTTTGTGGTTCTCATTGAAGATGACGTCACGGCTCCGTCTACACTGCGTTACCATAGATACTAACCCAGTTCCTAAACTGTTATGGAAATGCAGCATAAAGTGAGCCTGGCCTAACAAGGCCCAACGAGGCCTAGCCATACCGTACTAAGTCGAGCGAGGCCCTGCAGTGGAAAAGCGCCATTAGAGTATAAGCCCAGAAGTCATGTTTCTGAGCAGACAGCATTACAACCTTTGTCTCTTTGTGTTGTTTGTGCAGAGGAGTTTGATAAAGAAACGGGACAGATCCTCAGCGGCATGGACAAGCTGCCTCCTGACCTGAAGCAGTATGTGAAGGGGGACAACGAGATGTTTGAGAAGGAGATCCTGGAGTGGGACACCCTGCAGGCCCGCAAGGCCCAGCAGGAGAAGCTGGCCCTGGCCGCAGCCTTAGCAGCAGCAGCAGCAGCAGCAGCAGCTTCCAGCACCTCCTCCCCTCAGCCCATGAGTATTGAGTCCAGCCCTCCAGACAACTCAGGTCAGGGTCATGAGAATCAATACTTAGTAGGAGAATAAACACAGTCAAACGAACGTGTCCCCTGTAGTTATTAAAGGATATGACATCAATCTTACTCCACAGCTCTACAGCTCTTGCTCTTTGCTAGTTTATCAGTTTTTAGGCAATGTGGTGTCATTTTAGCGCTCCCCGTCAGGTATGTCGCCAAGTGGGTTTACATATACAAGGAATCTGCTTTGGTTTAAAGAGGTGCACACATAAACCTAGTAAGAGGAATTGCATTTATTTATTTTTTATCTGAAATATAACTATTAAAAAATTATTACAAAAATAAGAGGAAATGTTTACAACAAATATAATAGAAATACAAAAAAGGTAAGTACAATAAACATTATGACAAATTATGCTGAAAAACTAAATAAAAGATGTACAGGATATCATAATTTGAATGAGTGTGAGAACTGCTTTCAAGAGGTATCATTGTGCCCAAAAAGATACAGAGTAATGGGCAAGGTTAGCAGTATTGTGTATGAGGAGTATATCTGAAAATAGATATTTAGATGTTTGTGGAAAATATTGTTCCATGTCTCATATGAATGCAAATCTGTGTTTGCTCTGTGACTCAGCGAAGTATCAGAGAAAGAGAACATGGGTACTGCAATTTATTAATGTTTAGTGTCGCAAATGAAAAACGAATTGTTGCCTATTGGAGATAACGTACCAGCAATCTTTTAGGATTAGGGTTGGGTATTGTTTGGATTTGAACTATTCCGGTTCTGATCGGTTCTTGATTTCAGTTCTTTGAGAGGGTAAAAATGAGTCCTAGTCCCAATTTCATTTCTGTATTCATGTTTACAAATCACTTCATACAGTTTAATGTGGTTGCTTTTATTGAATACAATTATATAACAATCATCACTACATTGTTTTGTCATGCAATTTGAGAATTTAAAATGTCCCCTGTCTCCTCTGATGTTACTCTGCAACCTGCCTGTGACACAGAGTGCAACCATACACTCTGTGTCCAACACATGTCCTACAATACATCTGCTACTGCTGCCCAGCTGCTTCACTGTTTGTGAAAGGAAATAAATCATCATTTCAGTTTAAAAAGTAACTTCCTATTCCCTGCTTCACAAACAATACCGACATCCCTGTGCTCCTCCGAGTCTGTCTCACAGTCTGGGGATGTGAGGACAGCGAGGACACATACAGGGAGGCTTCATAAAGGAAATGTCGGTCAATATGAACAACATTGGAGCTAAAACGCGTAATGACCTTCATTATGTGTTAGAGAAAGAACATAAGATAGGTTGATACAAAATAAAGCTTTTAAAAGCCACTGTGTGTTGAAAGAGAGAGCAAAGAAACGTTTACAAATAAAACTTTGAAAGCCCCAAGAACCATGCGTTTCTCTTATTGTGTGGTTTTCCTCTATCAGCACCCCAGCAGGACCCAGAGTACATGGAGCAGCCGTCCCCCACCAACGACTCCAAGCAGCTGCAGGAGGACACTGAGAGGGCCATCTCCAGGGCCGCGTCCGAGCAGGAGGCCAGGAGCCCCGAAGCTTTGTTAAACGCTGTATGTAAAACATGTAGTGCAACACTCTCACTCACTCTTTAATGTCACTTTGTTCATTTTGGTTACCAAAACTGCATGGAGTCATCTTTGTTTCTAAGTAGGAGTCATTATTTACCCAGGGTCCTATTTCATTTATCAAATCAAGTGATATTTTTGTCTCCTGGCTGTCATATTCAAGAAAAACAACAGTTGAGAAATTAACTTATTTTGTGTATCCCTAATCACATTGTAACCCCACTAACATTGCCTACTTCTTTATTTGCATTTGAGCTTATAGTTTAGGTGTTCTGACCTCACTGTTTTTGGTTCGGCCTCGCAGCTCTCATAATGACGAAGAGGGTTCAGCCTCACAGCTCTCATAATGACGAAGAGGGTTCAGCCTCACAGCTCTCATAATGACGAAGAGGGTTCAGCCTCACAGCTCTCATAATGATGAAGAGGGTTCAGCCTCACAGCTCTCATGAAGAGGGCAGCTGTTTTTCCAGAAAAGAAACTCGACAACAGCCAAAAAACCACACCAAACCAAAGCTTAAAAGTAATGAGTACTGTGCATAGACTCACAGGTTGATCAGAACAAGACATCGGTCCTCACTGGCCAACGAATAATAGGTTCCAAATCTTTCACTCTCTGCTGAGCTGCTGTGAGAGATAGTATCACAAAGAGGACATTTCTTATTATACTATAAGAATTGTAATGCATTTTAGAACAGAATGACAACTAAGGAGTTTTCCACTATTGCTGTCCACTGTTGTGCCCATTGAGTCTGAGTATTGAAAGTGATTTCATCTATCAGGCAGTATGCTCGATGGGTACTGCTCTTCCTACATTCCACTGTGGTTTCTCCTCTAATCTTATCAAGCTAAAATTAGAATAAAGACACACGTGAGAGCTTTATATGCCAATTCTTAAAAGGGACATTTGTATGGTTAAGCTAAAGTTACTTTGTAGTTATTTTTGGTTCTTTTGGTGAAAGTAATAATACAATACCAAAAAATGTAAAGTAAAAGAAAAGAAATGTCTTATAAATACAGATGAACATTACAATTGACTAAACCATATATTTGTAATGTTAACCAAAAACTATGAACGTCTGTTTTTTTATTTTAGAAATAAATATTATTGGTAAACTGAACTAATGAAAGTCAATATTATAATTGGTGAGTACATACATTTGTGTAATCTGCTATCAAAATAGGACATTTTTTTATTTTTTTTAAATGTTCATCTCCTTTCCATCAGTCTTCTGTTTCATGTGTCCCATTCTCTCTACAGTCTTCCCCCCCTCCCTCCTCTCCTCAGCTGGATGTCCATATGAGCCTCCCCTCCTCCCCCCCTTCTGACCTGGTCACGGAGGAGGAATCCCCCTGCCAGCGCACGGTAGAGGTGGCCATTCCTAATGTGGGGACCTTTGTCATTGAGACAGAGGAGGGGGGGTACGATGACGAGGTAGCGCTCGCCCAGACAAACCTTGTCTCCCTTATTGTGCTGGGGTTTCTGTGCCTGTTTGATATGTGGAGTGAGAGCGGCTGAAAGGGTTTGCACTCCTGCTTCTGAAACCAGGTCGGGCTTAAGGCTGGGAAATGCTACGCACTAAGACTGACTTCTTTTACCCCTTTTCCACACAGCCCCAACATTGGTTCAACTGTGGCAACAACAATCTGCTCAGCCGACACTGCATCATCGGATGCTGGGGGGGGCATCTACAGTTCATGGCGAGAGTAGAACGTTGTTGCAGTAGCACAGACATTGAGTGGCTAGAACGCAACCACACATTATTTATAGAAACGTCCAGAACATTAACCAGGCATATGTGTGAGATATACATTTTTGACCATAATTTAAACAACTAACTGTTTGTGATCATTGTCGTAGCTACAAGTACCTACTCATTCAAAGCATTTATGGTGAATAATGAATATGTCATACATCTGATTGGTTAATGTTCCGTGACTTGGGAGTTTTATCTATCTTATCTCGCATTACTCCAGAACACCCCAAAAATAATACAAGTACTAATTAGTTTGTTGGCTCTAAATTCATTCATTCAGTCATTGATTAGTCAGACTGGCTTTTGTGGCTAGGCCAACGCCACCCATGTAATATGAGAGAAATGTATACAATCCTTTATTGTATGTTTTTTCACATGATGGAGCAATGTTGCCAAACATTGTCAATTAAGACTGAAAAAAATATACATTTACGGGGAAATATGCATCTACTACTACCACACATTGGGACACAATAGGCTGCTGAAACACGCTGGAAACAATCTATCGCTCCAGTAGTTGGATAATGCTGCTAAATCATAGTGGAGTAGCATTAGCTACATCACTCAGAAGAATAGAATACACTTGGAGGAGTCATGCTTGTAATGCAATCTAGCTCTGCAAGTTTAATAATAACATGAGCGTAGTCCGCTGTTGTTGTTATTTTGAGAGATATTTACCCTGGCGTCATCGTGAGGTAAACAGTGACGCCAGGTGTGACGTGGCTCTAACAGGGCTCTGGTGGGACGAAAAGCAAACTGGTTCTTAAGTGAATTGCAAGTTGGACCAACCACAAACCAAACGAGCCCTCGCAAGGAACTAGAATATCATTAATTTCAGTGGAAGAAGGGTATTTGTTGGCCTTCCTGCTTTTTCTGTAGTTTGAAAAAATTATCTTCTTGAGCTAGTCTGCATCTTGGCACAAAGGCAGTTTGACCTTTAGCAGAAGGCTTCGCTCTCCTTCTTCACACAATTCCCTCTGAAAAAATAAGAGAGCATAGCCTGGTGTTTTGATCTGAACATGCTGTTATAGGTTACCTACCTTTCACCTGCAGGTAAAGTGGAATGCCCCCACAGAAGATGTTTTATAGTTTGCAAAGCTTCCTTCAGGGGTGGATGGTGGTGGGTCAGCTGCTGCTCAGTATTCCTGCACTGTTCCCTCTCTGTCACACACAGCTGCCTTATGGCTGCCTTGGTTTCCACACATTATCCTCGTGAGGATTGCGCATCGTGCCATTGAACTGTCTGGCTCAGTCCCTCACAGATGTGTCACTCTAACCAATGCATGGTCTGCTGACTGATGCCTGGCATGCACTCACTCTGGTGTGCTTCATGGTGGTTGATTTTAATCCGTGCGTCACAAGGACTCATTGTGTTGTTTGACATGCTTCCTGCTTCTCGGGTAGGCGATGATGACCCCCAAGATGCAGGGTATCATTATGGCCATTGGCAAATCCAGCAGCGTGTTTGACGAGAGTGGCCCTGAGGCGGCCTTTTTTAAGGTACACACCATCTTTCCTTCACTAAATCACTCCATCTACATCCTTTTTATGTGTCTCTTTTTCTTGGTCTTACCCTTGGTACGTTCTTCTGGTCGATAAAAAGTGGGAGTTAAAATTGCAAATACAGTATTTACCAGTGAAATAGTTATTTCAAATCACATGAGGCTGTCGTTTTAGGGTTAAGCTGCACAAACTCTCTTTGCAGCACATAACATTATTAAAATCAGACACATCCAAAACTTCTTATTTTTCCAAAATCGTTTTAACTTTCTGATCATTAAGACCCCATTTACACGCATACGAAACGCAAACGAACCGAACAGGATATCAAAAAAGTCTTCCGTTCACGCGAGACCGCTGGAGACGCTGTAGTACATATGCCGGGCCTGTAAGTGGCGCCACAAAATGCACCAAAAGCAGCGAAGAAGAACCCCGAGCATGGTTGCCATGGTTGCCTGGTTGCCCTTCTGTTTATTCTCCGCGGTGGATTTAGCAACATGTAGTTCATGTCGTTCTCCATGTCCACTTGTTGCTGTTGGTTGTGGTAGAGGAGCTGTAGATTTCGGGAAAAGAGATACATCTCTAGGGGCGAAACAAGTCAATATGCAAAAATATGCTTCTGATAATGATTCTTTAACACAATTACTCATTAACTTTAGAAACATCATGCATAAGGTTAGGGTTTTGTACCTTTTTGAAGTAAAATTCATCAACCTTGTGCATTTTTATAGCAAAACTAAGATCAATAAAGAACTCCATGCTCTAGGAAACATTTGAATCATGAATGCATTGTCTGTTTAAATGAATGATGGTTAAGTAGAAATACCCAGGGAACCTATCACTTTTCCACAGAGGGAATAATGCCATTAATGATTGCACATGGTGTTGACAATGACTTGGTTGTACATTTTATAGAATCTATTTGATTGCAATCTCTGAAAATACTAATGTTTTGCTGAGAAATTAGCCGGAAAGCTGTGTTTTAACTTCAAAAAATGTTATTTGTCCGACAGTTTTATAATCTGGCATAAACAATACATTTCAAATTCAACGAAAAACTCTTTGCAAGTTACTTCTAAGTACCCGACTCAAGAGGACCTGAGTAAGTAGATGTCCTTAAGTCCGTACTGCTTTTACCTTAGTCTTAGTTTTGAACTGTGACTCGTCCCCTCTTGTTTCCGGGCAGGCCATAAAGCTGGAGTATGCTCGTCTCCTGAGATTCGCCCAGGAGGACACCCCCCGTGAGAATGACTACCGCATACAGCACATCATCGTCTACTTCATCCAGAACCAGGCGCCAAAGAAGATTCTGGAGAGGACTCTGCTCACACAGTTTGCTGACAGGAACCTGGCCTTCGATGAGAGGTACACTACACTTTGCAGCTCAGCATTCACATGTTAATAACACTCCACATGATATATTCTAATAAACATGTGTTACATAATGCAGCAAAATGTGAACGTTTTGCTTTAACATCTTGTGTTTTATATGAATATTTTGTATTCTTTTTTATATTCTTTTTTTACTGCACACTATTACTTTAAATGCCTATGTAAAAATACAAGTCATTTGTATTTAACTACTCGATATTAAAGGTGGAACGTCACCTCTCTGGGGGAGAAGGAGTCGGAGCTTGTGCGGGAGGTGGAGCGTTACCAGTTGGATCTGGTTGGGCTCACCTCTACGCACAGCGTCGGCTCTGGAACCTTACTTCTGGATAGGGGTTGGACTCTATTCTTCTCCGGAGTTGCTCAAGGTGTGAGGAGCCGGGCGGGTGTGGGGATACTCACAAGTCCCCGGTTGGGTGCTTCGTTGTTGGAGTTTACCCCAGTGGACGAGAGGGTCGCCTCCCTACGCCTGCGGGTTATGGGGGGTGAAAACTCTGACTGTTGTGTGTGCTTATGCACCCAACAGCAGTTCAGAGTATACGGCCTTCTTGGAGACCCTGGAAAGAGTCCTGTATGGGGCTCCTGAAGCGGACTCTTTAATCTTGCTGGGAGACTTCAACGCACATGTGGGCAATGATGGAGACACTTGGAGGGGAGTGATTGGGAGGAACGGCCCCCCTGATCTGAACCGGATAGGTGGTTTGTTACTGGACTTCTGTGCTAGTCATGGATTGGCCATAACAAACACCATGTTCGAACATAAGGATGCTCATAAGTGTATGTGGTACCAGAGCACCCTAGGCAGAAGGTCCATGATCGATTTCGTTATCGTATCATCGGACCTGAGGCCGTATGTTTTGGACACTCGGGTAAAGAGAGGGGCGGAGTTGTCAACTGATCACCATCTGGTGGTGAGTTGGGTCGAGTGGCGGGGGAAGCCTCTGGATAGACCTGGTAAGCCCAAACGTGTAGTTCGGGTGAACTGGGAACGTCTGGAGGAGGCCCAAGTTCAGGAGGCCTTCAACTCACACCTCCGGCGGAGCTTTTCGGGCATTCCTGTGGAGGTTGGGGACATTGAACCAGAGTGGTCGGTGTTCAAAGCCTCTATTGCCGAAGCCGCGGCGGGGAGCTGTTGTCTCAAGGTCCTAGGTGCCTCAAGGGGCGGTAACCCTCAAACCTCCTGGTGGACACCGGTGGTCAGGGAAGCCGTCCGACTGAAGAAGGAGGCCTTCAGGGATTTGTTATCCCGGGGGACTCCCGAGGCAGTTGCAAGGTACCGACAGGCCCGAAGGGCAGCAGCCTCAGCCGTGGCCGAGGCAAAGCAGCGGGTATGGGAGAAGTTCGGAGAAGACATGGAAAACTTTCGGGTGGCACCAAAGTTGTTCTGGAAAACTGTCCGACACCTCAGGAGGGGGAAGCAGGGAACCTTCCAAGCTGTGTACAGTAAGGATGGGACGTTGCTTTTGCAGGATTGATGTGGTTCTAAATGGCGTTCATCAGGTCTGCGCCTTCAGCCACTCACTGGAATCGGTGGGGGCTGGGATGAGGATCAGCACCTCCAAATCTGAGGCCAGGTTCTCAGCAGGAAACCGATGGACTGTCCACTCCAAGTAGGGAATGAGTCCTACCCAAGTGAAGGTTCAAGTATCTCGGGGTCTTGTTCTCGAGTGGAGGAAACAAGGAGCGTTGAGATGGGCCGGGAATCGGGCAGCGGGAGCGGTACTGCAGTCGCTTTACCGCACCGTTTGTGACGAAAAGAGAGCTTGAGCAGAAGGGCAAGCTCTTCGTCTACCGGGCCTTTTCGTTCCTACCCTCACCTATGTCATGAAGGATGAGTCTAGACCGAGAAGAACGATGATCGGGATACAAGCGGCCGAGACGAGATGGGTTTTCTCCGAGGGGTGGCTGGTGTCTCCCTTAGGGATAAGGTGGAAAGTTCTCGTCATCCGGGAGGGACTCGGAGTTGAAATCCGGGCTCCTCCTTCGCATCGAAAGGAGCCAGTGGACGGGTGGTTCGGGCACTAGTTAGGATGCACGGATGGCGGCCCCCTAGGGAGGTGTTCCAGGCCACGTCCAGCTTGGAAGAGACCAAGAGGTAGACCTAGGACAGATGGGAGGGATTATATCTCTTCGCTGGCCTGGGAGGCCGCCTTGGGATTCCCCCAGTCAGAGCTGGTTGATGTGGGCAGGTGAAAAATAAAGTTTGGGCTCTCTGCTGGAACTGCTACCCCCACCCGGACAGCGACAGCGGGAGAAGGATGGTAGGATGGATATATTAGATATATATATATATATAATATTGTGTTAATGGTCTGGGGATAAAGGTATGTTATATTTGGATGTTCATTTTTGTGTGCATTCTTATCAATTTGATGATTT